AAATGTAACACTCCGTGTTTCCCACAATCTACATGAGTAAGAAAATGAGTAAATATGAATTTGGGGAGAGAGATTGAATTAGACATGAACTCGGTGACATATGGTACAGCTCAGAATGAAGAGAAGTGAAGAAACAATCAGCCATCAAGTTAGGCAAGTGGATCTCAATCACCAACAACCCATAAATGAATCTCTCAGAAATTATGACACATACAAGACGGGAAGAACAGAAGAAGACAAGCCACCTCAGCTCTTTGATTTTGAATGCTTTACAAGCCAGTCGATGACCGAATCAATGTTGGTTGAGTTCTTGCAAGAGATCATGAAGCAGCATACTTCTCTGTCGTCGATAGATTTGAGTCCCCTGCAAGGCACAATAATTAAATTCTAGTCGACCACAACAATGAATACTGTCTCAAAATTGGATTTTAAGTTCGTTTGTAGATGGTACAAATTGGTTTTCTTATCATTGCAAAAATTCAGATAAGAATTCAATGAAAAGATTAATTTATAGAATGTCAGCAGCATACATGAGAATATTCCATTTTCTTTTCAAGATTTTTTAATTTCACTAAGGAATCAGAATGACCCATTTGTGGTTGGGACATTTAACGTTTCTAAAAGGGATTTAGACCAGAAGGAATCTTCCTAAAAAAAAATATAGAAGATGATGACCAGATGGAATCAAATATGCCAAAAAGTATAACTCAATTATTGGGTCCTCAATTCCTACCATTCAGTCAAGCTTAGAGAAATGATAATGATATATTAGAGTTTGGTTATGAAAGCTTTTTCATGGAAGCCAAAATATTGTCTTACATTTCATCAGTCAAAGCCTGTTTGGATAGAGCTCCTGGTTTGTCAATCTTGTTTCCCAAGACCAGCAACGGGATACCGGCCAATGATGGCTTGCTCAATAAGTCGTGAAGTTCACTTTTTGAGGTGCTCAAGTTATCGGGATCAGCAGCATCAACAACATAACTGCGTCCAACCAAGGGAAACAACTTGTAATGTCAGCACAAGATAAGCATAATATTTTGTTGAATAAATTATCTAAACACAGTAAAATTGCAATCAGAGGACCTCATCCAAAATATTTGATAAACAACTAAAACTTTATATTACACTTACCACATAAGACCTCCTAGACTTTACAGGATTTACATAATTTCCACTATCAATCAATTTTAAGATTAATTAGAGCAGAAGTGTAAAGGCAGAGCATATATTTGCAGAATTACCAAAGGCATCTGCCTTGCCATTGCACCTTTACTCATTCTCAACAATGTTAACAGACACCCTTTAGTTAGAGACCTAGTCATTGAGATTAGCAATCTTATTCGTATGACTCGTAACTAGTATTTTCTATCAGTATTTGCAGTTGATTGTCCAGAAAAACATTGTGTGATTACACAAAAATGAAGCTCTTTAACGCAGAAAAGGGCGTGTATTTGCAAAGCTAAAACATGGACTGATTATTCAAAAGAATCAGCAAAATTCTATCCCAGCAATCAATATATTATGTGGTTTTGCAAAGTCCATTGGGATAAGAAGTTGGATTCTTACACAATAGCAGAAACTGCACGACAATATCGCTCCCACATGCTGCGGAACCTTGGTTGACCTCCAAGATCCCACAACTTGATTGTAACATTCCCTTTTGTCACCTTCTTCATATTAAATCCCACCTGAAACATAATGCCGCCATATCAGAAAATAGTTTCACTATTCATTTATTCATAGAAGAAAATTGACAATGATAAATTCAAAAGGCTAACAGACTAAACAAGCATTAGATCACAGAATTAGGTCAAGCTCAAAGTAATTATGGCCCTTTTGAAAAGGGAAGCTTAACTCACCGTGGGGATCATGTCTTCACTGTACCCACCAGTCTAAGAACAAACAGAACAAAGTGCATTAGCACAAACTCGAAGCAGAAAAAATTAAATTCGATACTAAAAAATAGTTATTGATGTTGACTTACTGCCACGACGTTTACGAGTGAAGTCTTTCCAGCATTCTGAAGCCCTATCAAGGAGAGCTCCATTTCCTGCTTGAAAAAGAGGCTGAAATTGCATGCACAATAAAGTGAATTACAAGCATTGAAATAATCTGCCAATATAGGCTAAAGACCAAACTAAAGTAACAAAGAAGATGGCGCTCCCAGTAACTAAGCCATAGCTGTGAGAGGTTTTAGGGATAACCAAAACAAGAAAAAGTCAAACTTTAAGGAGACGTTTGTTTTGCAGGTTTAAACTACAATTCAAACCGTTTTATTACAGTATTTTCTCTCTCAAAAAAATAATCAAAATTTAAGAAATCAACTTTATCTGAAGTAAGCTATTACAAAAAAGGATTAATCAATGTTTGATTTGTTATTCAACAAAAACCACTCTGTAGATGCCATGTTCCACAAGATAATAACCAACTCCAGAAGTTGTCCATTACATTACAGTATGAATCGCTAGATTTCAAAAAAAAAAAGATGAAAAAGTAACTACGAAATTCGCCAAACGAGATATTCAATCCGTGAAATAATTTTTGAGCTGATACAGCTATCCATTCTACGCCATATGATTTCGATCATTAACCAAAAAAAAATTAAAACATACGAAAGTAATGAACAAGCCAATTTTCATTCAGCAAAAAAAAAAAAAAAAAAAAAAAAAAAAAAAAAAAAAAA